CCTGCTGGGTAGTGAGCCCACAACCCAGACACGTGACCTGACCAGGAATCGAAACATGACCTCCTGGTTCACAGGTCAGTGCTCAACCACTGAGCCTGCCGGCCGGGCAGTGTCTCAATATCTTGAAGCAGTAAGTGGTGGAGCTGAGAACTGAACCCAGGCAGTTTCACCCAGGCGTCAAACACAGAATCAGATGCTACCCTTTCCTCACTCCGAAACGAGGCGGCAACTGGCTGTCGCGTTCACAGGTGGTTGGAATTTGTCAGGACCCTCTTAGGACAGAGCGTGGATGGATCTCAAGTGTGTGTTGCAAAGGCAGTGCCCTGGTTCTGAACTCCACCTTGCCACCCTTCTCCCACCTCTTCCTCCAGCTGTGAATACGGCCCAGGGGTGTGGCCTCAAAGTGGCCTGCGTCTCGGCTGCCGTGTCGGATGAATCCGTGGCCGGGGACAGTGGCGTGTATGAGGCTTCCGTGCAGAGGTGGGTCCCTGAGATCTGGGTCTCTGGGAACTGTGATCCCCCAAGATGTGTGGGAGGGGCGTCCCCTATAGCAGGGCATGCCCCGGGGACCCCACTTTCCCCCAGCAGCCAAAGATGCAGGCAGGGCAGCTGCTCCTAGGGCTGGGGCGCTTCAGATTTGGGAGAGCACTAGTTTCGTGGTCGCCATTAAGGGGCATCAGACTAGGGGAGCACATACTAGAGAAAGGGGAGCCCCTTCAAGTCAGACCAGGAGCGATGGTGGGAAGGCAGGGTGTGCAGGGGGGCTGAGCAGACCTGCCAACCTTTTCTCCTTGAGGAGCGACCACACCTTCCCGGACAGAGCCCAGGTCGCTGCAAGGGATTCTGACGCCTGTCTTTCCCGCGTGCCTTCCAGACTCGGTGCATCATCCGAAGCCCCTGCTTTCGACAGTGAGGAGCCAGACGCGGTGGGAGCAACGCGGGTTCAGGTTGCCCTGCAGTAAGTAACGAGGAGAGGGGACAGAGGGTCTGTGCAAGGCCTCTTCCTCCAGGGCAGCATCTGCCCAGCCCGCTGCCCCGGGGGGGAAGGCAGAGCAGCAGGACCTGCTGACAGGGTGGACGCCTAATTAAAAGGGGCCACACTTCCTGTGCCTCCCAGCACCCATTTTACAAGAGAAAAACGGGGTTTTGAAGACCTTGTTACGTGCCCCGACTCACTGTGCAGGCCAGTGGCAGAGCCAGCCCCTGCCTGAGCCCTCTCTGCCTCTCGTTGCTGTGGCTTTTGTCGCAGTATCTCAACCAGGTCTCCACCATCTGGACCGAAGTCACCCCCTGGGGGCCGCAGCCCAGATGGGTGGTTCTTGTTTTCTCTTGATGGGGGATGGCCTCAATTGTTTAAAAAAAGTTTGCAATTTTAACCTTTTTTTTTTTTTAAAGTGGTTTTCGAGAGAGGAAGGGAGAGAGAGAGAAACATTGATGTGAGAGAGACACATTAATTGGTTGCCTCCTGAACGTGGCCCAACTGGGGATCAAGTCCACAACCTGGGAATGTGCCCTGACCAGGAATTGGACCCACCAGCCACCTCTTGGTATGGGATGACACTCCAAACAACTGAGCCACACCAGCCAGGGTCTCAATATCTTTTTAGCAGATTTTTTAATTGATTTTTAGAGAGAGAGGAAGGGAGAGGGAGAGAAACATCAATGTGAGAGCAAAACATGGATCAATCCCCTGCCCCCCTGGTACCTCCTACAGGGGATTGGGATTGAGCCCGCAACCCAGGCATGTAGCCTGACTGAGAATCAAACTGGCAACCTTTCTCTGCAGGGTGCCAACACCCACCAGGGCCTCAGTATTTTTTTTTAATAAGAATTAATTGCCAATATTTAAGTATCAGGAAAGTTCACACAAACTTCTGACTTCCCTTTAAAATGTGTCCTTCCCT